GCCCAGCCCAGTGCACCGCCGCACTGGCACCTACCCGAGAGAAAGGGGTTGCGCGTCTTGGAGGCTGGAGCAGGCGCGACCAGGGAGTCCAGGTTGACCAGGGAGGAGGCGGCGGGGCCGAGGAAGGCCTCGGGGGTTTTACAGTCCTTCCGTTCCTTGCCAGATTCAGGCAGGGAGTCGGCCAGGTTGGTGAGGTCAAAGCTCTTTGCCCCGTCCTGTCTGGTGCTGGGGAACAGGTCGCCGAAGGGGTCCAGCTCTGGGGTGGGGAGGGGGAGACAAGCGGTGTGAGCCAGCCAGGAGACGCCGAGGGTGACGGCATCCCCCTGCCACCACACGTGGCGGCTAATGGCACATCTCGCCCCGGGTCACAGCTCGATGCGGCGGGGCTAAGGCTGCGGCGTGCCCAAGCTCCCCCAGGGGTTGGGGACATGGGTGCCCACAGGGACCGGAGCTACCCTCTCGGCTACGGGGCAGCCCAATCCCGCAGCACACGCAATTGCAGTGAGATCAAGCTTTGGCCACGCCAATAAGGAGCCACGCACAGCTCAACCAGCCCTGGAGCTGCCTCCCTGCAACGGGCAGGGACAGGTCACCGTCCTCACCTGCCCAAATCGGCCCCTGCCCGCTCCCCCGGCTCTTACCGACGGGGCTGTTGGACTTGGCCGAGGAGGGCGGCTGCGAGGGCTCCTGCTCCGGCGGCTCAGCTGGCTCGGGCGGCTTTGCAAATGGGTCGAAAGCGTCCCCCCCTACAGCTGGGGGGAAGAGGTGAGACTCAAGGAGGGGAGCAAGCAGGGAGGTGAGAGGCAGGAGATGTACGGGCAGGAGAGAGGCAGGGGCAGCTGCCTGCAAGGAGACAGAGAAGAGGGCGTGCGGTGGTGGGGTGTGGGGCAGGGGGTTGGGAATGTGCCTTGGCCCGGGGAGGGAGCTAAGATGAGCCAGACTATTGTGCGTCATTGCAGACCAAGGCAGCCCCAGCACTGCTCGCAGCCACCCCCCCCAGCAGGCAGGTCCCTTTCCCAGCCCCAGTGGGGACAGGCGGAGGGGACAGGTCTGCAGGAATGCTTTAACAACCAGCACTGGCCCCCAGGCCAACTCTGCTCTCCTGCCCAGGAACCAGATCTGAGGGCAATGCGGACGGGACCTCCACGGGGCTGGAGGAAGCACCGAGGAGGAACTGAGAGTGACGCTGAGCTCTGAAACACAGGCTGTTCCTGCAACCTCTTCCCCAGCTGCAACGTGGCACCTGCAAGCAGCAACCGTCCCGTCCCAGCAGGGCATATCGGGCTGGTCTGGGGTGAGCAAACAAACGGGTATCACCGGGAGGACACACACTGTCACCCTGCTGCTGGGGCGGTGCGGTGGCTGCTATCCGCTCCCACGGGAGGGCTCAATTAACTGTGCCATGTTAATTAAAGCAGCCTATTCTGTGCAGAAATAAAACCTAAAGGTTCCTTGAAGTCTTCAGGATGCTGAGGGGTGAGTGGAGGTCCCACTCTGGGGCAGGAGAGCAGGGAGGGGGGGTTTGCAGAGCTGGCTGCAGGAGGAAGAGGGGAGCACCCCAGGACCCCACTCACAGGAGAGCAGTGATGGCCAGCGTTGCCCACGGCCCGCAGCAAAGCCAAAACGCCCATCAAGCCTCTTACCAGGGTTAGGAGGTTGCTCGGCCACCGCGGCCCAAGGGTCGGCAGCTGGCGTAGAACCAGAGACCTGGGCAGGAGGGGACGCCGTCACCCAGGGGTCCGCAGGAGGGAAGCCAGAAGACAAGGGCGCCTTCCCCCATGGGTCAGAGGCTGCAGTGGTGCCAGGGGGGAAATCCCAGGGCCCGGCGGAGGTTTGCTGGGACGAGGCGCTCGCCTGGGAGAGGGGCTCCCCACCAGCAGACGGGACCGGCACCCAGGGGTCAGCCGCACCGGCCCAGGCAGAGGCTGCCGGCTCCGCTTTGGGCTTCATATCTGAAAGAAGAAGGGAAGCTGTGGAAGAGGGTAACGGGGCAGGGCATGGAGGGACGCTGAGAGGCAAGGATGTGCCCAGGGGACCACAGCTTCCAGCAGCACCACCCAGGCATGCAACGGACCAGGCAGCAGAGGGAGGAGAAGCAAGAGATCCTTACTGTTGAGCTCCTGGGGGTTGGGGAGGGGGTCAGAGGCGAGGGAGAGGTTTCTGCCCCAAGCTTTGGCAGCCGGTAAGTTGCCCCCACCTGGCATATCCCACGGGTCGGCAGACGTGTGGCTGGAGGGGGCTGGCGCCGGCCCGAATATATCTGCCAGCTCCAGGATAGAGGACTGCAAATAGAAATGGAATAAAGAGGTGAGGGAAGCCCAGGGCAGACCTGCGGGATTGCCCCAGAGCCCAAGGCTGGCTGTGTGGCCATTCAGGCCCCCAGTGCTGTACCTGGCTTTTCTTCATCTTATCTTCTTCCTCTTCTTCCTCCCTGCCCTGGGCAGTCTCCTCCACGGCTCTCTGCAGCAGGGAGTTCTCCCCTTGCCAAGCCCTCACCTCCTGCGGGGACAAGGGATGGGGCCCATGAGCTCAGCAGCCCTGCAGCCAGCACCTTCACCAGGAGACAGACCCAGCACAGGAGCTGCCACCACATCACTGAAAAGTCCCAGCATCCGAGCAGATGGTTCCTCTGGGGCCGAGCCCCCTGGGAGAGCACTCAGCAGAGCCCAGAGCAGCGAAAGCAAAGCAGGCACCGGAGCAAGGCGACGTTTCAAGCTCCAGAGCCCCAGAGAAAAGCCCAAGTGCAAGGAGAGAGGAGCACCCGGGTCTGCAGGGCACAGGTACCTTCTCGTGCTCCTCTTTGCTCAGCGCGAGCGCTAGCTGCAATTGCCTTTCTTCATCTGTACTGGAAATTGGAGGAAGTGGCTTCTGCCAACAGAGGAAATCGGGTGACATTTCAGCTTGCCTTCAGCTCACAGGACTGTTCAGAGGTCCCTGTCCTTGCCACCACCTCTCCTGTGGCCCCTCACCTGCCTTCACAGCATCTCTGTGCCCATCCAGATGGCTTCGACCGCAGACCCCCAGCCCAGTGCCCCTACGCTCTCAAACTGGCTCACACTCAGGCAGCCCTGCAACCACTGCCCCAGCTCCTTCCCCTAACCCATCACCTGCCTCTGCATCTAGGCTAGGATGACCCTAATTAGGCAGCCAGCATCTCCCCTGGGAGGTTTTTGATGACTCTGATGTCATCAGCAGAGAGGGGATCAATTAGGCATTCCCTCACCCCGGCAGCCTGCTGGAGAGAAGGGTTTGCGATGCCAACTGGCCTTGGTTCAGGAATCCTGCCTGGCCCTGCCATGCTGCAGGAAAAGCACGCAGACCTGAGGCAGATTTTGGGGAGAAGCTGTCCCCATACCATCATGTCAGCCGTGATCACCACCCCGTGACCCTTGTCCAGCAGCATGGGACCGGCTGGGACTGGGAATGGGGACCCCGATGGGGTTGTGCATGTGTGTGCCTGTACAAGTGTGTGTGAGCATGCACACGTGTGCGCAGCCCAGATGGACTCCAACAGGCAACGCTTTCACGAGCATGTTCCTGCAGTGCTCATCACGGCAGCATGTGGAAGCTATAAATACTCCAATTCCAAGACAAAAATAGGGATACAGGCTCTGCTCCATCTCCAAAAGAGCCTCCATCGGGCAGGGAAGATGGGCAGCAGCAAGCGCTATCTCCAAAGCACGTCCCCTGCCCCAGCAGGACCGAGCTCACAGTGCTCAGTGACAGCCCCAGGGGGACACCCCCCAGCCCGGGCACACAGCCCCTTGGTCACTGCATCCCTCTGACTTTGCGTGCCCAGCCATACCCACGTGCTCCTCAGGGGCCGTGCCAGCCACCAGCAATCTCAGTGGTGCCCAAATAAGCCATCCCCGTGGAAAAGGGGCCATGGCCAGCAGATAGGAGAGGGGACAGCCTGGGGGAGGTTTCACAGTTGGGGACAGCAGCTTGCTGCCTGTATCCCTCCTTGGCTCCTCCTGGTGTTGTTTTCCAGTGCTCCTTCTAGCATAGTTTGACAGGACCAGGCAGTGGGAGGGAGCACCTGGCCCCACCGAGCCCCAGCCTGGTGCATAGCCCTGGGGACACTGCTGATGCTCCAGCCCCCAAAAACCACAGCGTTAGACAAGGCATCACCTCCTAAAACCTCCATGGTAAGGCAAGAGAAACAGGGGAGCTTAGACCAGAAGCCCTCGGCAGAAGAGGGCAGACAGGTTTGGGGGGGCCTCAGCCTCGTGATGGCTCTGCCTGTACAAGGACGGGGAGCAGGGATGCAGGCAGGGATCTGCCTGCTGGCTATTCTGGATGCCAGACACAGTGCAAACAGTCTGGTGCAGTTGCAGGTGCATGCACTGGCCTCGGGCAGCCCCCCAAATCCTTCCTCCTCCCAGGGAAATGACCCACCATGCCTGCAGACAAGGCAGAGTGCTGAGAGATGCCTGGCCCTGTGTGTCCTGGGGCAGGCAGAGCCAGCCTACCTTCTCTGCCTCCTCCCGACTCATGGCCAGCGCAAGCTGCAGCTGCAGCTCCTCCTCGCCTGTTGTCTGCGGCCTCGCTTGCTCCAGGTCGGAGGCAAACCGTGGGGATGAGGATGATGCTTGGAAATAAAAGAGAAAAAAGGGAAAGAGTGGCATCAGGACTGGGGTGTTTAGGGGAGCACATCAGCAGCCTTGTCCAAGCCCCCATCCACAGCGTGGCTTCCCCAGGAGACGTAGCCCCACATTAGATCTCCCCACCACAAACAAGCCGTGGGTTTATGGCTCAAGGCACCACCAGCTGTTGGGGTCCACCACTGGCCCAGCCAAACCTCTGCCCGTGCTGCAGGACAGAGATGGGCTTCACCACCACCCCCCAAACGGTGGAGGGGAGCAACAGGCACCAGGCAGGCATAAACCAAATGCAACACCCGCCTCCACCCCGCAACAAGCCCGCGCGAGCAGCCAGCAACTCTCACAGTTAAAGGAGGAGGGCGAGCCCCGTGTCCGGCCGTAGTCGTCGCCGTAGGGCGATGCGCGGCGGCCGTAGGTGACCTGGTGGCTCCCGCTGCCCATGCCCTCGAGGGCCATGCGCTCCTTGGTCTGCAGCGCGTGTGCCCGCTCCTGCTTCAGCCGCTCCTCGTCCTTCAGCAGTGCCATCACCTGCTTCACCTTCTCCCGGATGTTGATACCCTGGTCCTTGCCATCGCGGTCCACGTACTGGAAGTCCTTCAGCGTCTGGATGGTGTAGAGGTTCTCCCGGCACTGGTGGGTCACCTTCTCGGAGCCGGTTTTGATGAGGTAGTCCAGGAGGGTGAGGGCTTTGTAGACGTGACGCCAGTTCTTGCCGCTGTCGTTTAGCCGCCGCCAGATCATGCCCATGACCTCGGCGAAGGCCACCGTGTTGAAGGTGAGGTCGGCTATCTCTGACATCAGGGAGCTGGGGGGTCCCCAGGGATCATTGGATGTGGCCTCCCGCACCTTGATCTCTGCTTCTGAGTAGTTGTGCACGATGTTTTTCACCTGCCGGCGCAGCGCCGAGGTCGTCATGGCTGTGCGGTGCCGGAGACCCGCCGGCAGCGGGCAGGACTGGTGGAGAAGGGATGAGCGCTCACAGACGCAGCCTCACCAGCGCCTGCAGCGGGGACCAAGGACACAGAGATGTCAGCATCACTCCAGCCACCAAGACCTGTCCCCAGAGCCCTCGTCTGGCACCTGGGACACTTCTCAAGGTAGGAGCACCCATTGTCACGGCATCAGGTGCGCCCTTCCAGGCTGCCACTGCTCACTAACCTGAAGACACGCAGGATGCTCAAGGAGAAAAAAGTCTCATAGCAAGTCAATACCCAGCACTGCAGAGCTGCCAAGAGATTTGGCTCCAGATTCAGCAACATTTGGAGGAGATTTTACCCTGCACTTCTGCTTCTAAAAGTAACCACCTGAAAATGGCAGCTCCCTCCTCCAGATCCTGGCTGCCTTGGCCCCACTGTCCCAACAAAGCTGGTTTCAGGCCCCCCAAGCCCTTGAACCAGGTGGGGTCTTCCCTATACCCCCAGATGCGCTATCTGTGGCTGCAGGCAGCCCCGCTCACCCCGGCCATCTCCCCAGGACTCTCCGTGCCACCAAAGATGCGTCGTACCAAACCAAAACCCTGCTGTGAGGCAGAGCCTGCCACAACTTAACCAGCACTAGCAGCCACTTGGGTAGATTTTCCCAGCAAACTCAGTAATTTTGCTTCTGCAAGAGGCTGCAGGGACAGAAGCATGTGTTGCCTTGGGGTGGCAAATTCAGGGTGCTAACCTCCTGCGCCAGGTCAGCGAGCAGGATGGATAACACAAGCCCCCTCTCCCTAAAACCCCAAGCTGCATGAGCCTTCCCTGTGGCAGGGGCTGGTGTGGCTGGAGCTGTCCTGGCACAGGTCCGGCGAGCAGTGCCCGTCCTTGGGATGTGCTGCACCTGACGTGGGGGCAAAAGGACGTGGGTCAGTCTGGACCCATGTTCACATCACAACTCTACCCCTTACTCTGTGCTAGTTTTAATCCTCACCTTCTCCCTGCACGGTGGGAAGACACAATTTACCCTCATTTTGTCAGAGGACCAAGCAAAGCGAGGAGGCAGAGGCTGCCTGGAGCTGCCTTGCCTTCAGCAGGGCCACACTGCAGGGCTGGGGAGCTGGTCTGCTCCCAGAGGTCCCGCTGCAGCTGCAATAGAACTCACTGGCAATTTTTTCCCTGTCCGAGATAACGCTTGCAGGCAGAGGAGTATCTCCCCCACACAGCAGTGCCTGTGGACAGCGATTACCAGTCTCCATCCCACCACCCACCTCGGAAGCCGGTACCTCCCCGGACTGCAGCCCTCGCACCGTGTCCAGCCCTCTCCTGGCTCAGGACACCGCTCCCCCCCACCAGAGCTGGGCTGGGGCCGTGGTGATGTGCCCACAAGCCACACACAGCACCCACCACGCTCCCGCACAACCCGTGCGACCGGTCCAGCACCTCCTGCTCCCGCGGGCCAGCGGCCGGACGCCCCACGGCTCCGCCAGCAACGTCCCCCATGAGTCAGAGAGGAGCTTGGCACCGCCACGGAGGCCGAAGTTTCTCTCAAGATGCTTCCCTGTATCGATTCCCTTTCGCAATGCAGCCCGTCAGCGCGGCCTTTGGATCCCGCCGGGAGAGCCCGTGGCGTGGACGGGCACGCCATTGCCCACCTGGCACAGAAACACCTTCGGGACAAGGGCAGCAACGCAGCAAAGTCCTCCGGGACTTGGCTCCGCGTTCTGCTTTCCACCAACACCCAGGCGGGAGATAAAGTCATGTTTTCCAAAGGTGCCACCAGCCTGGCAAACACCGGCAAACACCAGCAAACACCGGCACTCCTCCTCCAGGGCAGGACAGTCCTGCCTGCCTCCGACAGGTCTCTTGGCAGGACAAACCCCAGGTCCAGCGTGAGGGGCTCCAGCACCGCTCGTCCCGGCCGGAGACCCGATCCCAGCTGGACTTCGCCTGCCACGAGTGGGCCCGGGAAGTCTGCGTGGGAAAAGATGGAAGCAGGGGCTGGGGCAGGGGTGAGAGGAGCGTGACCCCAGCGGGAGCTCTGCCAGCGGTGTTAAAGGCAGTGGGGTTTATCAAACACGTTATCCCCCCCCACCTCCGGAATATAAAGGGAGTGAAACAGAAGCTGTGCGGGAGATAAGGCGGCAGCACCCGGCAGCTCATATGGAATTACTGCAGTGACCTTGAGCAAGAGGCTGCCAGGTGGGAGAAGGACACACGGGTGCGGGGACAGGTCCCCATCGCCCCGCGGCCCGGCGCAGGGGACTGCAGAGGC